TGAGAAAAATATTTCTGAGATCCACCTCAGATAAAAACAAACAAACAAAAAACCCCACAAATCTTTCTATAGTTTTTCATAAATAGGACATTTTACTGTATTTTATGCTGGTATTTTTAATAATTGTTTGTCATAGGTATATATGTATTACCTTTGAATAATTTTGTTAAAATTTTTAACTATAATGGCATTTGTTATCATGAGAGGTGGTATAACACAATGGTCAAAAGCAAAAGATCTTAAGCCAGGCTACGTGGGTTTGAATCCTGTATTTATCATTCAACAGCTACAAGACACTGAACAAGATACTTAAATTATTTGTATTGGGCACCTCAGTCGGGACCCCCTCTCGTTTTGAGAGCTGTACTTTCTGCTCTAATAAAACTATCCACTGCTGTAAACTTTAAAAAAAATTGTTTGTATTGTCCAAAAATGTCATTTTGAGTTGACTCTTCTCTCTAGAGTGTTAAAATAAACTGTAAGCACTCACATCTGAGATTCTTACAAAATCATTGTTCCTTGATCTCTTTGACCTCAGTGACATTCACTTCCTCTTTATTTCAGCAGTTGTTCCCTATGGCAACACCCTGAATCTTTTCATTTCTCAGCATTGGGCTACTTAAGATTTTTTTTTATTAGTTTCAGGTGTACAAAGCAATGTAATAGTTAGACATTTCACCCCTTACACAGTGATAACCCACCCCCCAATCTACTACCCTCCTGACATCGTATATAGCTTCTAGAGTTCCATTGACTCTATTCTTTATGCAGTACTCCACATCCTGTGAATTTATATTTGTATTTATATTTATAGTATTTATATTTATAATTAACATTCATTATTATTCAGCTTCAGTTTTAGGGTACTGAACATTGCAGTGTTCTGATATCTACACCGTCCATGAAGTGGTCTCCCTAATAAGACATGTGACCATCCGACACCCTACAAAATCTTTACAGCGTTCTGGATTATATTCTCTAAAGACATTCAAATTGTAGTCTCCCAGGCTAAGAAGGCTCCTTTCCTTTCAGGTTATGTATACTCTAATTCCCCTCAAACTTGTACTTCATCCTGTGGAATCTTCAGCCTTTTTCTCCCAATTTATCTGTCCCTCCTGATTTCACTTCTTTCACTGTTCAACGTCAGTCTCATGGGTTACTGGCCCCATTCCATCATTCTCAAGTTCACTTGCCTGTCTACCTTTCCAATGCACCAAAACTTAAAACCTTTACCTTGGATCCATTCCACCATTCATTTTTCTCAGTTACTTATTGTAAAATGGCCTGATCTGGAGAAAACTTGTGCAATTGTGTATATTGGAGTCTTTCTTAATAATAAAATTTTTACTATTGGGTACTTGCTATGTGTCAAGTGATAAGAACTACACATCTGTTCTCTCTCTTATACTCACAGCAACTATTTAAGATAGTTGTTATTGTTTCCTATTTTGAAGATGAGGATTCAATGCTTAAAAATGTGATCAAGTGTTGATAAATGACACAGGTTGGAGTTGAAATTCAATCTTTTCTCTCCAAAGCACAAGTTCCCAACCATTGTACCATGTAATTACCAAAGGCACTACTTTGTTATATGCTCCCTATTTGTCTTTGTATTTTTTACTTTCTCTTCTTGCCTTCTTTTGATCTCAATAAATACTCTTTGTCACTCTATCTTCCCCTTATATTAGTTTGACAGTTATATACTCTTTACTTATATTTTATGGTTAACTTGGAAAAAAATACATCTTTCATATGTGACATACAATCCTAACTTTAACCAATAAACTTTACACTCCTCTTGGTCAATGCCTGGTTCTTAGAACACTAAATTTTAAGTATCTTTATAGATCCATCCATCTGTCTATCTACACAAACACATTTACATTAAATTATTTTGGGGGTTCTTTGGGTTTTTTGACACCAGTTTTATCAAAGATGTCTTCTGGGGATTTTCTTCCACCATGCCAATTGTTTTGTTTATTTTATTTTATTTTATTATTTTTTTTAATTTCAAAAGAATTTAGAGAAATCAAATAAATTCATTACAGGGTTCTTACCACCAAAAGTCCATCTTGTTTTTAAATTTAACATTATAATTTGCTGATACATTTTTCACTGTCATTGAATACTGACTTTTCTTTGATTTCTGCTCCTTTATTCTTGCCTATGAATTAAATTTATGATATTTACATGAAGATATTATGGATAATATTGTTTTGCTTTGTTTTGTGTTTTAGTTAGGGACATAAAATGAGAGACTGAGAATTTAAGATTTCATAACTTCAAAAAGAACTTCTCTCATAGTTATTTTTCTTGATTTTTAAAAATAATAATCACAACCTACACAACATTAGGAAAGAGAACAACAGCACATTACTTGTAAATTTTAGAAAACTTGTATTAACTTTGTGCATAATTTAAAAAAAATTTACTGATAGAAATCTCCTTGTATTTCTCATAGCTTTACTTGTCAATAATTAGAATTATTCCTTGCCTTCTAGTCTATCCCCATCCTTGCCTCAGTCTTACCTCATGAAAGTATGCATATTTAAATGTGGAATTCTTCCAAAGTTATTGGAAGTATTAACAGTGTCTAGAAAATGTCACCTACATTGCTTACATACATCTATCCTGACCTCTCCTTTTAACACTAGTTCTTATTCAACAGCTTACACAAAGTCTCCTATTGAATGAATCAACAATTTCAAACAGACCACATCTAAAAACAATCTCATGATCTTCTAAACATGTTTCTCTTAGAAAGTGTGCTGCCACCTATTCAATTCTGCAAGCAAAAACCTTAACACCCACCCTCATTGTCCTCACTCTCTTCTATCCAATCAGCCACCAAATCCTGACAATTTTACCTCTTAATTTGCTATTTGTCCACTACTATTTCTACCACTATCATCAGTTCCCTTATATTCCAAACTACCTTAGCTATTTCTGATTTGTTGTGTAAGACTAAAATCCTAACTGATCTTCTCACCTCTAGTCTTGGTTCCCTCCACACGTTTGTATCGACTGTACCAATAAGAAACTTTTGTGTATATGCATGTATATGGTATATATCTAGTATGTATAGATATCTGTATCTAGATAGCTATAGCTATATCACATACATACATACATACATACTACTACTACTACTACTACTACTACTACTAATAATAATAATAATAATAAACACGTATTTAATACTTACCATATGTCAGTCACTGTTCGAGACACTTAACATATTCTAACTCACTCAATTCCTACCATAAGGTAGGTGGTGTTGCTTAGTCCCATTTTATAAATAAGGAGAAACTGAGGCACAGAGCATTTAAAAGTTCTGCCCAGGACCACAGACCAGTGATGCTGGGATGTGAACTCAGCAATTTAGTTTCAGTACTGATGTTCTTGACCACAACATGATATTATCTCTCAATGAGCATCATTCCTTCTGACCTAAAACACTTTGGTTACTTTCAGATTGTTCCTAACGACTACAGAATCTTTACACCCTATGTGTAATCTTCTTCCCGCCTATCATTTGTTATGAAATACTTGTCACCCTTATGTGTTTCTCCTAATCTTTATTTCTTTAGGGAATCCTTCTGTCAAATCACTATTAGTAATGTCTTTGCACCATACAGCTTTCAGTTAATGGCACTTATCACAGATTTGTGATTATTTGGTTAATTTGTGTTCCATCCACTCTAGCATATTATAAACTGTGTGCACTATTAAATTCCCTGTGTGGTGTAATATAGTCAGTATATATGGTGCTCAAATATATTTTCTGAAATAAAAAAACAAAAGAAAAAACAAGATGGAAGGAAGGGAGGAAACAAAGGAGGGAGGAAAGAATGAAGGGAGAGAATTCTTAGAGTTGAAAAAGGTCTAGGAGGACATTTCACAACTTTTCTTCCTGATCAGAAATTCCTTTTCGATTATTTCCCAGAATCATCATTCATTCTCTGAACAGATCCAGTGGTGGGTAACTCGACCTCAGGAAAAGCTGCTTTCATTGCTGAGTGAATCTTAACTATTACAAAATTCTTTCTTAGCTAGAGCTAAAATATGGCTCATAATAAAATTTTCCCATGTTATACTCTTCATTTTGGAGCTTCCTGGAATATGTTTTACCCCCTTTTCACATGGCAAGTTTTCAAATATTTAAAGTTAATACGCTTCTCTCAACATATTTCTTCCCCCAGCCTAAAGATATCTGATTAGTTGTATTTTTATGACATAATTATATATGACATACTTTTATATATGTGCTTTGAAGTCTTTTAAAAAAAGCATTCTTTTTCTTAATGTTAATTAATTTAATTTCTTGCCTTCATCTAAGATTTTAAAAACCATGTTCAAAGTACGTTAGTTGGTTCTTTCCTTCTACCCCAAGTAAGTTTTGGTATGCAAATAAGTAGGAAATCCTACACATTATATTTCCTTCTTGGGAATTCACATTACAGAATAACATATTAAGTTTCTAGAAGGGTTGGAGTAAAGTATCATGTTAGGTTTTCTTTCAACTGTTGTTACACAGATATATCTGGTTCTTTTCTAGGGACATATATAAAATTTTATAGAATTTTTCAGAATATTGTTTGTAAAATATATATATATATGCATTAATCTCTATGGAATATTTGTTTACAGCATGTGTCTTACAAAATCAGAAATCTAAAGTAAACTGTACTTTTTTACTTAACAAAATTCTGGGATATTTTTTAACTCATGAGAAACAGGTGTATTATGAGTATGTCAGGTAATTAGAATATGAGTTTTTTCTTATGTTTACTGGAATAAAAGGAAAAAAAAGTGGAAAAATATACTTGCATATATTCATGCTAGAAAATTGGAAGTAATTTTAGTATAACACTCTTTATTATAATATGTTCTTAATAAAACTTGTGAGTAATGCTCCTGAAATAAATATTTTACTTTTGTTTTGTTAAAAAGCATTCACTCTTTTTATTTAAAAATATCTGAAAAAACACTGACAAATATATGAGTTGAACACTGCAATTCAAGTGGATTTCAAATGTTAAAACACAAGATTCTATCAGGAATTTGTTATAATAAATGTGAAACTTAGGACTTTAATTGCTGAAATACACTGTACAATATCTAAGAACAGCAGCTGTAAAGTAGTAGAGAACTAAAAATGACTGTTGCTCTGTTATATGGTATTAAATGACTAAAACGCTCTTGTTATGAAGTATTTGATGCATTTAATATCCATTCTTGAGGGAAATACTATACTTATGCCTACAAAAACTACTTAACTATCTGAATTTAATTATTTCTTTATAATTATGACAAAGAAATATCTCATTTTTAAATTTTCTTCAGATCTCCCTGCCTCTTGTTAGGTTGCTGTATTTATACTGTAAATATAATATCTGCAGAAGCAATTTTGAACATATGCAAATAAATATGTCCTTTCTAGGGCATAGCAATGCAATGGCATTATTTGGTATTAATAACCTGTGAAAGAGACAAAAAAATAACTATCTTTGAGTTGATAAACTATCTTCACTCTGTGTCTGTTTTAATTTTAAAAAGTATATTGTTTTATATATCATTGATGAAAGCATCTTTGAATAGAAAAAACTAGCTGCACAAATAAAAATGGTGGCCAAGAGCAATTGGGAATGTGCTTTTGCCTTAAACCAAATTTTATATCAGAGATATTAGCTTATTAAATGAATTTTAGATCGTTGAAGATGTGTTTAAATAATGACAGTCTGAAGGAGCTTGAAGCAGGTCATTAAATCCATTGGGATTGGTAGGTTGATTTCATTTCCATCCAGACGGAGGTAGCTCAGATGAGGTCCAGAACTGAAGAAATCTTGGTCTGCAGGCAGTATGGTAGGGGTAGGACATATTACAGAGACGTTCACATCTGGGGAGACAAAGATTGCATGAATGAATGAATTGGAACACAAGAAACCAGGGAAAGAAAGACCAAGAAACTATTACAACAGTCTTATGGAGGGCCAGTCTTATGATCTATGAAAGTGGCAGAGATGCAAACAACTTTTGTGTCAAATTGAAGGTTGTGCATATCCATTTTATAAGAGTAATCCTGAAAAAAAAAAAAAAACGGGCAACATTTGTATAGTCATCTCACTCCATATTCTGCTATACTTACTACAGAGCACCAGAAAGGACACATTGTTAAAAGGTGTGATGGAAACAAGGTGAGATGAGGTATGCTTAGATGACTATAGGATGAGACAGGTGAGATTTAGGGCATTAGAGGTAGAGACAATGGTTCAGAGCTGGTACTGAAAGACTAGGTAGGTGTATGAGTAAGTGGATAGACAGATGGATGCATAGGTAGAAAATCAGTCTATTAGAGAAAGTGCTTGAAAATTACCTTAAAATGCAAAATTTCAAATTAGTAGTGTATAATGACAAGCTTTTCAAAAAGTACAATTGACATAATGTACATATGTAATACTTACAGAAAACAACCTTGAGTCTTCATACTTAAATATATGTAATTGGAAAGGAAGTTTGCCAAGAATTGAATTACAAAGAATTCAAGCCAGGAAATATTCCATCAGCCTTTTCAGATAGTTAGGATGTGAGAAATTGTGCACCTGCCTTGGATTAGAGCCCTTGGCATTAGTGGTTATATTGAGATTTAGGGGCATTCTGGAGAGCAGGCCTCTTAAACTAGCAAAGTTCAGAGAAGTTTGTGTAATAGCTGATCTAAGCCATGCATCTTTATATTGCCTTTAAATCCCATTTTGAAACTATTTCGAGCAAGAGATCTCTCTTAGAAGATGAGACCAACCTAACTTGGGCGATGGCTCTCTTTGTGTCCTGTTGGTGCATATATATAGTGTTGAAGGATTTTACGCTTACAGCGAGGTTGCATTGCTATGATTTTATGCCATTTTGTGAATTTAACAAGCTGAAAAAAATGACTCTTATTTGTGTAACAGTTTTGTGTTTATAAAGTTTTTTTTTTCATATAGATCACCACCTAATCATCATCACACAGTCTTTATCAGAAATATTATTATTCTCCCCACCTGGGTATTGTGGGAATAGTGGTTCAGACAGGTAAGGTAATACACACAAAGTATTTCAGCAAGTGAGTGCACAGCTGGATCCCAGCCTAGTCCTTTTCCTTCTCCATCCCTTGTCTACTGGAGAGATTTTGCCCTTCTATGTGCTATCTCCTTATCACCCACATGCCTCATAATCAAAGCATGTGTGGATAATGGAATGTAAAAAAATGTGTATTCTAAATGTAGTTATAGTTTCATAAATTAATTAAGGTGTTTTTGAAAGGCCACTTAGAAGTAACTTATTTGAATACGTAACATTTTGCCAAATTTAAAGTCTCTTAAGGTGTTCAGAAGAAATAAATAAATGTTGCTATAATTTTGAATAAGGAAAGTTTACTGCCTTATAAATTCTGAATGCTCTTCAAAGGTAGAAACCATTTTACTAACAATTAGAGTAGATTACGTAGCCAGAAGAACTAAGTACTTTAACAGTTATTATAACTCAGTGTGATTTAATGGTAAGCCAATAATTCTAGTCAGAGAAATGCTTATTTTAAATTTATTTTCTTGGAGCATAGAAATGACCATGTTTGATATCTATGTGAAGAAGCAAATAAATAAATTTCTCTTTATTGATGTTGTTGGTGTTAAAATTATTCTCACTTGTATTGATAGAAATTTTTCTAAAGTGTTTTATTCTCAGAATTGAAAAAGTGTGCTATGATTGTACTGTATGAGTGGGGAAAAAAGACTTAAACTGAGAAGCCTTGGGCTCAGGGCCTGGTTACTATAATTGCTCTTTGTTCTTGGCAAATATCCTCTCCTAGTTGAGCCTCAGTTTCCCTTTCTTCAGAATTCCCTAATAATAGCAAACAAGGCTCTTTTGAGGATAATTTGTGGTTCTCAAAGTGTGGTCCCTGGGCCGGCAGTATCAGTACTCTATCTGGGAACTAAATGGTTAGGCTCCACCTTGGGCCTACTGAGTCAGACACAGTCCTTCAGGTGATTTTGATGTGTGCTAAGCTATGAGAACAGTTAAAAAATAGAAATATATGAGAAAACACTTTGGAAAAACTCTAAAATGTGAGTGAAGGAGTACATACAGAGTTCTATCTTTTTTGTGTCATTTTGTATAATGATGTAAGTGCCCTTCATATGCACTTACCTGTGTGTTGAATTTTGCAACCTCACTCCTAGATACCCTCATTCTCAAATTCTCAGGGAAATCCCTAATTTGCAAACAGGGGCCTATATGACATCGCTTCAAATTAATTTCCCACATCAAATATTTGTGAGGCTTTTGTGGTCAGATAAGGAATGCACCTGTGGAAGTACAGAATTTTAATCAGAAAAAAAAATTGCATGTATTCAGGTCAATACTGGCTGCTGTACTGTTTGGTTCAGTGGAACAGACTCAGCCATTAACCTTATTTTCCATTGCATCTTTTGCTTCTGACTGCAGGAGTAAATAACCTGTCTCATCACCATGGAAAAGTAACTGCTATGGCAGCAACCCACTTATTACTTCCTGGATTTTATGCTCAAGAATGCTGTTAGAAAAACCAAGCAAGTCTTGAATAACTGAGCAGCACTCAGTAGGAAATCGCCTCTTTTTTTAAATGGGATATTTAGGTGATTATATGCTTAAAGAAAATTTTAGTGAATAATTATAAACCAGGCAACAGAACCTTCTGACAATTGTCTGTGTTATTCTCTTTCAAACCACCGGACTGACTCTCACTCTAGGAATGCATTTTCTAAGGCTGTTCCAGAGAAGTCTCCTCAAAGTTACCTTCCCCAGAGGGTTGGGCTGCGTTCAACAATGCACGGTTAGGTGCCAGCTGCTACTGATATCCCTGGGACCACACCAGGGTGTTGCCCATTTCTACACCAGGGTCAGCCTGGTCTCAGGGGAAACTGTGAAGATGCCAAGTTTGCCTTTAATGTCTCCAGCCTCTCCTTTCTACAACTATGTCTTCCCTTGATGGCATCTCTGCCTCCAAGGCACTTTGCACTCATCTCACTCTCTCCTTATCAAAAGTTATTTTCAGGGAAGGAGAGAGTATTCTACCTTGTTAATTGCCATTCATCCTGACTTGTCAACCTCCAGGGGCATTTGCTTCCATTTAAGTTGAGCAAAGCCTGACAGTACAGTATCGTTTCCCAATGCGTGGTCCCCAGAACAGCAGTCTCAGCATCACCTGGAACTTGTTAGAAATAAGAAGCCTCTGGTCCCACCTGGACTCTTCACTCAGAGACTCTGAGGTGGGGCCACCAGCGCACGCTAAAGTGTAAGAAACCCACTCATCTAACTCAGAGACTCCAATTAGGGTGTTTTTAGGCAGCAGTTTTGCTGTAGATTTTAGGACATATGTGTCTTCCTGATGCCTCCTAAATTGTATGTCTTCTGTTACTATTCATGAGGTTGTTTGTGCCTGAAACACTTTCTGAAATCAATCTACTCTGGTGAGGCAGAAATATCGAAATCTCCTCGGAGTTACAGAAGAGAGAGCCATTTTGTTTCTCCAATAGATAGAGACTAGCCCTCTGTGGATCATTAAAGTCCACTCTTCAATCTGCAATTTGAAGGTTAGAACTTCTTAGCTCATGGAGACTATCTGTAAATGGATAAAACATAATACTGAAAATTGGAAACACACCTTAAAAAAATCTAAGGGCCCATTCGTTGGGAGGGGGCAGGGGAGAGGGCGGAAGAACACAACAGAATTGCTATTCTTAAAGAAAGTAGAGAATTAATTTAATGACCATGACCATATTAGTCCAAGATGCACCCTGATGGTTACTTACTTTTAATTTTGTTATGATCAAGGTGAAGATGCTGCAGGTGCGCACTGATCCGAGGCACCTTTGTGAGCTGATTGTGAGACAGTTGAAGATCTAGAATTGATGATACATCAAAACCACTTGCAGGGAGGCCTGCATCTGATAACTTGTTGTGGTTTAGTCTCAGGAAAGCCACTTTAGGAATTACGTTAAAATAATTCTCTGGTATTCCTTCAATGGAATTGTTATCTAAAAACAGTTGCATTGTGTTGGCTGGTAATCTTGGTGGCATGTTCCTGAGGGCATTCTTGGCCATATTTAACTGCATGAGGTTCTTCAGTCCCTTAAAGGTGTCTCTTTGAAAGGCATTGTCTAATAGCTTATTGTGTTGCAGGTCAAGAAGGGTCAGGTTCTCCAGATTGCTGAAGGTTCCTTGAGGAATCCTGGATACTTTGTTTCTAGCTAATTGTAACTGTTCTAAACTTCTTGGCAATGGAGAAGGTACCTCCTCTAGCTCATTATCTTCCAGAAATAAGAAAAGCAGTTTCTTCAGTTGGCTCAGAGCTCCTTTTTCAATTCCATAGTTGGTTATTTTGTTCTTGTTTAGATTGATCCATCTCAGCTGGGTGGCATTCTCGAATGGCTTCTCAGGGATGGTTTCTATCAGGTTGTTTTCCAGATAAAGATACCAGATCCTTGAAGGAATAGCAGGGATTTCTTTGAGACCTCGATTTTCACAGTATAAAGCAGTAGGGAAACTGGGGGGACAGAAACACTCCCTGGGACAATCGAAGTCTTGCTCAATCCAGACCTCTGGGTCATGTACCTCATAGACCTGTCTCACAGTTCGGGTCCACACAGAATCTGTTACAAATACCATCCAGATGATGAAACAGACTGTGTTTGCCATTATAGTGCCTAGAATAAGGAACACAACTGTTAGATATTGAAGCTCTTGATATTTAGAGAAGTGTATGCACTAAAATGATCAGCAAACACGGCTTCTTTGAGGGAAAGGTAAACATATGTCATCACTGTATACACAGATATCAATTAATACCAATCTCTTTAGTAGGCACTATGTGCAAAGCATTTTGCAAACATTGAAACTGACTCAACAATTTGTAGCTGTCTGGTTTTAACCCAATCACAATGAAAACTGAGAAATGGAAAGCAAATTTTAGGATCTCTAAGTGCTTTTCCATTTCAAGCTACTTAATGCAAGGGAGTTAACTGAAACCCGGATTGAATACAAGCATACAAAAAAGTGACCTTTAAATAATTCAAAAGTCTGTGTTGTTCCTAAGAAGTAGGCATATGCTTTTACTTTTACTCCTAAATGAGCAGAACATCTGGATGAGATTTCCCAGGCTCTTTGGCCCTTGAACCAAAAAAGGGTGATCAAAGAATGTTTTAGTGACTTCTTGTGAGGAAGGTTTTAAGATCTGAAGAAAAGTGAGTGATTAATCTCTTACTCTTTTGCTCAACTTCTCAGGTAAGTTTTATTTGGGGTTAAGGGGAGAGACTTCTAATATAAGTAAAAAGTCAAGTTGTTCAGCCAAGAAATTTGAATTCTGACCTCTGTCTATATACATAGCAATTAGGTAAATAAGGTATGCAACTATGGCATTACTATGGTTGATAAGAAACAAAACAAAACAAAGAACATGTGCAGGATGCAGATAGAGCTCCACATATTCAGTATAGCTACTAGCAAAGAATAGGTTAACACTTACTCATAAATGATACACCTGAAAAACATAAACCCTTCCCATCTACTATCAACAAAGTTATGGGTACCACAAATTATTTTAACAGGAAAAAACACATATATAAATATATATATATATATATACATGTGTATATGTATGTATGTATATATATACACACACACACACACACACATATATATATATATATATATACATATAGAACAGTAACATTCAACCAATATACATTTAGTTCAACCACTTGATAATAAGTACTGAATAAATTTTACTGATTCCTTTGGAAAAGATAAAATCAATATCATTTATGAAATGCTGATGTCTCAATTTTGTCACTTCATTGAGGGAAATGACAAGTGCAGAGCTGCTTACGCAAGCTGTCAAATTTCTTACAATTGCAGAATGCTACTCTGGTCATCTTCCAACAAAGACACATTAAAATATTCTTTTTTTTTTCAGAATAGAAATTTGTTTTAGTTATTGAAGCTGTAACACTGCCTCTGATGAATCAGGACTTTGGATTGTTAACTTTAAGAGTTTTTAAAAGTGCAAAATCATTTACCTTGCTGTCCAGGAATATACCGTTGATACCGTTGAGTCCTGTGTCTGGATCTGAAGTTTGCTAAAAATCAGTTAAAAAAAAAAAAAAAGGAAAGACAGAAAAAAAAATACTTTGACTAAAGCAATTTGTTTTTATTTTATGCTGTCAAACCTCTTATGAGAAAAAGATAAAGCCTCTCTGACCAGTCAGCACGAACACCCTTTGATGTATTGTTTCCACTTTTGACAAGGCTTCAGAAGCCCGCTTACCTCAGTCTTCTTGGATCTTCTTCTTCCCTTTCTATTGGTCAATGCTCATCCACAGTAATGGATTGACCCGGGCTCCACTGTCGTGTTTTCATGAATCCTCCTTAATATATATGCATCAGTAGCTCTAACTTTAATCCTCCAACAACCACAGCACCTCGGTACCTAGGCAGCCCAACACAGGAAATTCTGACTTTAATCTCAAGAACCTGTAACAACAATTCAGGGCAGTTTTTACTCTGAGTTCACATTTCCAAAGATTTTGTAATGTACTAATACCTAGACCTGATCTAGCAGCAGTTTTGATTTCAAGTGTAACAAAAATATTTTAAAGCATGTTTTTTGTTTTTTTTCTAGATGATCTTAAAAAAAATGAATACAAAGAAATAAAGGCCAATGTCCTCTGTTTATATGGAACTTTTTTTCTCATATAAAACAGATTCTAAAATTCTTTTTAGATATATTGTGATTGATTAAGGGGAAAGAGATAGAAAAATATATCGGGAGCACCAAAAAATGTATACATATGACTCATATTCTTCTTTTGTTACTGGTATATATTGAGTATTACAATTTTAATACAGTTTTTTCCTTAAAATGTGTATACATTTTTTTTTGGCATCCTCTGTATTTGAAACATTTTAAGAGAAATCTGAAAACTATACCTGATGTTAGCACTGAATGTGGTGTTAAATTCTGTTTTATATAAATAATTTTTGCATCTCTATTTCTTACTGGGAGTTTTATTCCAAAATTTTTTTAAATAAATTTTTTTCACTATAACAGATATTTTGCATTTAGTCCATTACAAAACATTCTGCCTCACTGCTATTTTTTTACTTTAACACATTAGCCTAAGATAATGTCTTCTAATGCTTATATTTAAGGAAAAAATTATTATGCCTTTTGATGAAAGACACCAATAAAAAAAGGCCTCTGGAAGAAGGCCTGCCCTCCAATGTGTGTATATATCTCCTTTCTAGAAATCTCCTGTGGCATGTCTCAAAGCCATATATATATATATATATATATATATATATA